GGCAGGCAATGGGTAATCCGGGCACACAGCAGAGGGGAAGTTCAGGCAAAGATAATCCAGGCACAGCAGAGGGGGAGGCTGGCAGGCAATGGGTAATCCGGGCACACAGCAGAGGGGCAGTTCAGGCAAAGATAATCCGGGCACAGCAGAGGGTAGGCTGGCAGGCAATGGGTAATCTGGGCACACAGCAGCAGGCAGGCTTGCAGGGGCACTCAGCTTGCAGGGTCTTGCCAGTAGGGTCTGGCCGCAGATCAGACCTCTCACAGCACTCTGTCACATGAGCAGGGAACTAACTCTCCACTCGGGTCCTGCTCCGGTCTTTTATCCCCAGAGCAGGGCGCTTCCTGGTTGCCACGGCAACGGCTGGTGGGTTTCCAGGGCAACAAGCCCCACCCCCTCACTCCGGCCGCGCACAGGGAGCGTGGCCTCTGTCTCCGGCGGGCGCAGGAACCTTGGGGTTGCGCAGTTCCCGAGACAATGGGAGTGGGGCGTGTGGAGACACCCAGGTGGCCTGCATGTGGGGAATCCACATGCAGGCACAGCGGGGTGGCAGACTCCTCAGTGCCTGGCCAAGGAGAGGCGCGAACCTCACTGCAGGGGGCAGATCCCTGGCGCCCAGCACACCACTTTGTGTGGGCTACGTGCGGGCGCAGGGACATGCAATGGGGAAGGGAGAAGGGAAGAGAGGGAGTGATGATGGGAGGGAGGGCCGTGACACCTTACTTTTTAAATATATTTATAAACTATATAGGGTCTGGGATTAAAAATACCATTTCAGTCTTTGCAGATGACACCAAACTGTGCAGTGGAATAACGTCCTTCAACTTACAAACTGACCTCAATGCACTGTTTAATTGGTTAACTATGTGGCAAATGAGGTTTAATGTTGATAAATGTAAGGTTATGCACTTGGGGGCTAAGAATATGCATGCATCATACATACTAGGGGGGGTACAATTGGGGGAATCAATGGTGGAGAAGGATCTGGGAGTTCTGGTAGATTACAAGCTTAATAATGGCATGCAATGCCAAGCTGCGGTTTCTAAAACGAGCAAAATCCTCTCTTGTATTAAAAGAGGTATAGACTCCAAAGAGAGAGATATCATTTTACCCTTGTACAAATCATTAGTAATACCTCATCTACAATATGCAGTTCAATTTTGGGCACCAATTCACAAAAAGAACATTGGGGAACTGGAGAAAGTGCAGAGAAGGGCAACCAAACTGATAAGAGGCATGGAGGAGCTCAGCTATGAGGAAAGATTAGAGAAACTGAATTTATTCTCTCTTGAGAAGAGGAAATTAAGGGGGATATGATCAACATGTATAAATACATCAGTGGTTTATATAATGAACTCGGTGTAGAGCTATTCACAGAGGACAAGGGGTACTCTTTACATCTGGGAGAATAGAAATGTAATCTCCAAACACGGAAAGGTTTCTTCACAGTGAGAGCTGTGAAAATGTGGAATAGACTCCGTCAAGAGTTGGTTCTGGCCAGCTCCGTGGATTGCTTAAAAAAAAAGGGCTGAATTCTTTCTTAGATACACAGAATATAAATAGGAATATTTTTCCCTGCAGGAGCAAATTTGATCATGCTTTGTTGGATTTTTTTGCCTTCTCTGAATCAACTGTGGGTATAGGATAACTTTTTTTTTTTAATGGTTGAACTGGGTGAACTTTTGTCTTTTTTCAGCTACGTAACTATGTAACAACCAAAAACTTATTTTATTGGCATTTTATGTGGTAAACCAACACAAAGTGGCAGATAATTGTGAAGTAGAAGGAAAATGATAAATGGTTTTCAACATTTTTTACAAATAAATATCTGAAAAGTGTGGAGCACATTTGTATTCAGCCTCCCGAGTCAATACTTTGTAGAACCACCTTTCGCTGCAATTACAGCTGCAAGTCTTTTTAGGTATTTCTCTGTCAGCTTCGCACATCTGGAGAGTGAAATATTTGCGCATTCTTCTTTGCAAAATAGCTCAAGCTCTGTCAGATCTATATCAAACCTACCTTGGATTGGAGCAGAATCCTCTACAAAGAAGCTAGGTCCAATAGACTTAGTCATGCTACAAAGCCTATTTGCCTCATAGGAATGTGGAAGGACTCCATTGGAGCTTCCTCAGAAGACTGTGGTTTTATCTGGATGTCCCATCTCCTGGTGATCAGGTCACACAAAGGCCTCCAGATTTAGACTAAACCCTTCTTGGGGACTCCTACAAAATGCTCAAAATGCTCCTACAAAAAGGCCTCAAAATGCTCTGCATGCTGTTCATGCAGGGAAGTACAAGGCAATTGAAATTTTCTTCCAAGTAGGAAAGGAAGGGCACTCTAATGCCAAACCCTCACCCTTGAATGCAGTGGCCATCAATCGAAGGCACCCAGAAGGTGATGCTGTGTCTCTAGGACAGACAGTGAGATCAAGAATAACACACTCTGTGACTGTAACGTAAATGTGGGATTCAAGTGATTGGACTGAGATGTGATCAGTAGCAATATATAATTGTAAATTTAGTTTCATTCCTTGTTATTAAAGATGTATTCAGTCATATATTCATTCATATGTATTCAGAGACATGTGCTCACCCATTAGCATCTGAAAAGACAGAGCAGCTTCTAGGCTGGAAGATTTGTCACCTATATATAATCAGACTTTGCCACCTTCTTGAAGTTTGAAAGAGGGACGCCAGACATTTCGACCAGGAGGACTCCGATCTGTCTGGGAGCTACAAATTATATCAGCAGATCAAAGGAATATATTTCATCTCTCATAAAAGCTAAAATATTAGTTGCAGAGAGATGAAAATACTTCCTTCTGATTGGACACACTGTAGGCTACACCTGCATGTAAAACGGTATTTGTAGACTATGTAGGATCCCCAAAAAATGCAGAAAACTGTTATATGGCACCTGATTGCGGCAGCTGAACAGTGAATGGTACTGTCGCGATCGAACTGATGCGCTGGTGTCAAAAATTCAATCCCTGACTGGGTGATTCATACGGAGCCAGTTCTATTGACTGACGGATTGCGGACTTTCCCTGACTTGCTCCAGTCGCAGAATAACTCTTGGTAAAAGTTTTATTTCTGTTTTATTCCCTTTTATTTTATAGTCAATAGCCAATTGTGTGTCTTCTTGTATTTTCTGTAACTTTTTATACTTTGTACATATTTTATACACTGCCCACGTTCGGGATATTAAACCATAAAATTAATACGTGACTTCTGGGTACTTAAGCTCGCGCTCATATCTCCAGAGAGATTGTATTGTATTGCAGTGTCTTTTTATGCTCAGTCAAGTTCATTGCCAATCTGTATGCAATTGCACTGCGTGTTGGCATATTGCATGCAGATTGTAAAGGTAGCAGATCTGCCAGACGGAGATCTCTGTGTGTGTGGTGTCCCAGCAGACCGTTCTGCGGATAAACTGTTGGGTGGTGGCAAGCTACCGTTTGTAGTGTTTCTGGTGTGGGGGTGTGTGTGGACAGTGGAAGAGTGATTAACACCGGGGTTCTGGCTTGGAGGATAGCTGGAGGAACCCTAGAAGGGTGTGTGGTTGCTAGGCTGCTCCTCAACCCTAGTTATTGCACCAGATTGTATGTAAGATCACATCTGCCTGTGGGTGTGGTCAGCCAGCTGGATTGGAGTCTCCCTCTGGTGGTGGCCAGAGGTAGTGCAGGCTGTGAAAGTGTATCACAGCCGGTTTTATATATTGAAAGTTAAGTCCCCCTTATTCCCTCTTACCCCAAGTCACGGTTGCACATGCGTGCCTCGGTTAGCTAGTCGCTGTGGGCGTGGGGGTTGGATCCATGACAGATTCGTCCAGCAAAGCAACCAGGTCACTCATCCTGTCACAGGGAAAGTTCCCGAACCATCCAATGCAGTTCAGGTCAGGATATCAACCCACAAAAAGGAACCCCCAACAAATCAGGAACTGTCTACTCTGAAGAAACAGACAGAAGTCCCAAGCATGAAAATACACACATTAGTGAAGACCTTCCAGGGTGAAGGAAAGGAATTGCCATATCCCCTGCCAGATATTTTTTTTTTGCAGTCCCTCTGCAATGCCAAGGGTAACATTTGAGGCTGCATATATTTAGAAAATGCATATGAGAAAATCGACCAAAAAAAAAAAAAAAAAAACGGAAAAAAAAAAAAAAAACGTTTGTTCAAAAAAATTAAGCTGGTTGCAGACATCAGCAAGTGGCTGAAATACTCAGGTATAAGCCAACTCACTCACAATTTTTTTTTAAACACAGATAAGTGTATAAATGTATATACAGTATATACTACAATTTCCAAAGAATACATGCTTATTACTATGGTGGAGCAGCCTATACATACACCTTTGCTTGTGGTTAATTCCAGGAAAAAAAAAAAAAAAAAAAAAACTAAAAATTGCCTGAAATTATCTTGCACATCCAACTACTATTCCTCACACCCTAACATTTATCAGCTGAAAGTGTATGGCTGGGTCTGAAGCTGGCCACAGATGACTGGATCGGGCAACAATGATCTAACATCTATAGCCATCATTAACTGTGGACACCTGTAATTGCTTTTCTAGTGTAGTTTAAGCAGCTCCAGTAGTTAACTCGGACCTGCTATAATTATACCTTTGTGAACTTAAAGTACAGAAAAATCTCAGCGATCTGCCAGTCATGAACGTAATTTATTTTGCACACAAAGCTTTTATTCTGACTGAATATAGACTTTGGGATTAAAAGTACTATTTCAGGGTTTGCGGATGACACCAAGCTATGTAGTGCAATAACGTCCTTATAGGATGTCTCCAACTTACAAGCCAACCTCAATTTAATTGGGCATCTACAGTATGTGGCAAATGAGATTTAATGTCGGTCAATGTAAAGTTCTGCAAGTGAGGACTAAAAACCTGCATGAATCATACAGTATTCTAGGATGAGGTATATTTAACAGATGCTAAGAGAGCATATAATTGTTTCATACACATTAACATAACAAAAAAAACATACCTTTTAAAATGTAGTCTGTTAGCAATGTTGGAACTTTCTCACTATCCTCCTTCATTGCACTGAGAACTGACAATATAAAAATAAAAGATATAGTTTCATAGCTTTAAAAAAAACATTTATTTCAGAAAACAGCAAGAAAATAATAAAGCATGCTCAAATTTGCATGAATACAGGATAAAATTATTTGTGGTTCCCCCAAAGTCATCAGATATTCCCTGGATCAACATTCCACAGTTCTGTTTCTGATTAGTAGCCATTTATATTTTGTGCTTATTTAAACTCAGTCACTATTTTTTCACAACCTACTGAGTTACTTTAGTGGAAGATTATTCCATATTTTCACAACTTGATCCCCTTCTATATATGCAGGGTAAGGATTTTTTTTCTTTCAGACCAAAGAGTGGCCCCTTGCCTTTTGCAATGACCTTAAAGTAAACTATTCTGCATCTAGTTTTCTATATGTACGATTATTGTATTTATACAAGGTGTTCACAACCCCCTTTGGTGTATTCGGAGGTGTGAATGCACCCTGACACCAATTACAACGAGAACCCAAACCCCAGCGATTAGCTGCGGGAGATAGCCTTACTAAAAAGCAATGGGAGGCTGCCGTTTCCTGCAGATAATCATACGCACTCACATATAATCACTCATGCAGTGACCACATGTGTGTGAATGGTGCTGGACACATACTGCCTGCATCCAGGGTCGACTGGTCGATCACTTGTGTGTGATCACTGCATGAGCGATTAAATGTGATGTCATGATTAGCTACGGAATCCAGCAGCCCTCCCATTGCTTTCAATGGGCTGCCTCCTGCAACTAATCCCCTGGAACCCCTGCTGGAGTTTTCGCATGTAAAATCGGCATTCATTTGTGGGTATGAACAAATGCACCCTTAAATCTCCTGTTCTCACAGGTGAAAAAATTCAGTGAAGCTAATCTTTCCTCATAGCTTAAGTCTCTATTTAACTGATAAATGTATTCACCCTTTTCTGTACTCTTTCAAAGTTCATTCTCTTGTGAACTAGTACCCAAAAAAGTCTTACTAATGCTTTGTATAGAGCAAAATTACGTTTCTAGTCAAGAAAGCTAGTGAATAGTTCAATTCTGATCTTGTTCTGCACCTTGCACAAATGATTTGTCCCAGAACAATGTGCGTTCTGTTCGGAAGGATTTTCAGAATTTGGGCCAAGATCGTCTACAGTTCTTACCTGTTCATAATGCACAAGGGAAAGTACTTTGTATATTGGAGTTCAATCTTTGGTTACCCACTTCAGCTACAGAAGATTTTACCCCCTTCATGTCCAGGCCATTGTTTACTACTATTTAACAATGTGCTACTTTAACTGGTAATTGTGTGGTCAAGCAACAATGTAGCCAACAAAATTTATATCATTTTTCACACAGAGCTTTCTTTTGGTGGTATTTGATCACCACCAGTTTTTCATCTTTTGTGATTTTGTTTTTCTTGTGTGCAATTCTTTATTTAGACAATGCACACTCACAAGTACCATCACACAGTAAGCAATATGGGCAAGCATAAACATTTAAAAAGTGCATCATGGCACAACATGTCACAGTATTCCAGTAACATTAGGCTAGATACAGATTATCAATTACAGAAGATATTATAACGCCACTCATACTGGAAGTGTAGGGTAATGAACCTGAAATACACAAAGTCTACCTGAAACTTTTTTCCATTATAAAACACAAAAATTCGATGCCTCACATCTTGGGACCATAAAAATACAAAAAGAATGGGAATGAGGGGAGATGCCAGAGAAGAAGGAAGAGACCAGACAGAGAGAATGGAGTGGGAACACGCTGACAAGTACTGGAGGCAGGTCTGGGGGATGGAGGGGCAGAGTGGAAGCGGGCCCACCCGCTTCTTCTACTCCTCCCCCATAGAACCTGCCCAGTCAAAGGATTCAAAATTTAACCTCCAAAAGGACTCAATCGTGCTCGGGGGAAAAGAGCAAGTGTACATCATGTAGAGCCGTCACGTTTCCTGAAATTCATCTTTCTTGTTGTTAAGGGAGGCAGTTAGACTTTCCATACAGCCAATTTCATTCAACTTCGCAAACCAATGACCCACAGTTGGGGGAGAGGTTTGCTTCCACAGATCTGGAATGCATGCCCATGCCACATTCAGAAGGTGAACTTGTGAGGGAGCATTTATAGTGATATAGCGGTACCAAGTTGAGATGAAGGAGATGTGGGTCTCTTCCCAAATCCAATGAGGTCAACTGCGAGACTAAGTTCCTTACTCCTGTCCAGAACTGATTCAAAGACCATTGCCAAAAGAAATGCAATAAAGTGTCCTCTTCCTTCTGACAGCACCAACACAACCTGGAGACTGAAGGGTAAAATTTGTTCAGTAGCACCGGGACCCTATACCACCTTGACAGACATTTTTATCCCTACTGTTGGAAACGATTAGCTATCGAGGATTTGTGAGCTAATTGAATGATCTGGTTCACTTGTTCTCTCGAAAAAGGACATTTGCAGCTCAGCTTCCCATTTGCGCATGTAAAAGGGGACGAACATCTCCTCTGGTGTGTTTAACATTTTATATAATACAGATAGAAGGTGAGGTGTATACTTCTTTGTGGCACACAGGTGCTCAAAGGGGATGAGTGATCTGGTATATTTGTCAGAGTCTGGAAACAATTGAAAAAAGTGACACAATTGGTAGGTCGACCAAACACTTAAAAGGGGGTTGTACAAGAGTGCAAATTGTCTGAAGGGTCATCCAGTTTTGCAGAGTCGTAAAATGCCTACACGGTGTAAAGCTGCCTCCCCCAGGCGACGTAACTGTCCTAGTGTCAATTCCTGGAGGAAAGGCAGGGTTGGAGAGTACTGGGGTAAGGGGAAAGGGATAATGGGACAGTCCCTTTTGTTGAAAAATCTGGTGGATAACCTTAATCACCATTCCCACAGTGGGGTGGACTCTTAAGAGAACGATAATATTTTACCTGTAAGCAGGGCAAAGCTACAAGTGCGACCTGCGCTGATCGTTGTTCAGTTTGGGCCTACAGCTTATATCTTGGAGATGTACACCATGTCACCACCCTAGAAAGGCTTTATATTATAATGATAACTCTCGCAGGCCCAACACCGCCTCTCAGCTTAGGGAGAATAAGCAAGGTGAACCTCGTCCATGCCAACTTTCCCCCACAGATACAGTAAAATCAAGTTGTAGGGGTAATACCTGTATGAGATACAAAATCTGAGGCAATGTCATCATTTTGTAGGCATTACAGTGTCCAAACCAAGAGTGAGTTAGGCCCTGCCATATGCACATGTCCAACATAATTTTGGATAACAGAGGGCTAAAATTTTCCTGATATACTGCAGAGGTTTCAGATGTGATGTTAAAGCCGAGGTATCGCATAGAGGATGAGGCCCAACAAAACTGGTATGAGCACGGCAAATGTGCCACACGGTTCTTTGCCAAATTAATGTTAAGTGCCACCGATTTACAAAAATTTATGGAAAAATTAGAAGCTCCCATACTCAGTGAGCAGGGAAAGCAATTCTGGTATGGAGGTCTCTGGATTGGTAAGGCAAAACAAGAGATCATCAGTGTATCTTGTATTCATTAGGTGAGAGCTGTAGTTCTGTTATGGATGGGTTGGATCATAACTTACACAGGAATGGCTCAAGAGTCAGGATAAAAATTAATGGGGATAGGGGACATCCCTGTCGAGTTCCATTGGATAATGGGAAGTAATCCGAACGTGTAATTCATTTTCACAGCGGCCATAGGGCAGGAGTATAGTGCAGAAATCCATGTCGTCATATGGGTACCCAGTCCCACATGATCCAGAGTGGCTTGCAAAAACTGCCAATCTACTCGATCGAAGGCCTTCCCAGCATCAGTGGACAACAGCATGAAAGGGTGGGTCCTTGACCGAGCACAGTGGATCAGATCAATAACCTTCGTCGTCTTATCGCTCTGGGGGACGAATCCTACCTGGTCGGCATGGATAAATTCGGAAATATAGGGGAGTAGTCTATTTGCTATGATCTTGGAAAACAATTTGAGGTCGACGTTGAGAAGGGCAATGGGTCTGTAGTTGCTGCATAGAGTGTGGTCCTTGTCCGGTTTCGGGATAACAGTGATGTGCGCCCTCAACATATCTGGCGGGGGGGGGGGTGACCGTTGGAAAGCGAATTGTATGCACTTAGGAAGTAAGGAGAGAGGGTTTTTCTGAAAGATTTATAATAGTTTAGGGTAAGGTCATCTAGTCCGGGGGCTTTATTCGTTTTGGTGGTGGCTATAGTGATGTCTAACTCCTCTGTTATTGGGACCTTCATTTATTTGCTAGCCTGCGAGGGTAAGGAGGGCATACCAGAGGTTGCCAAGAAAGAGGCTATTAGTTCTTGCCACCAAGAAAGGAGCTGGGAGACGTGATTGTGCAGATGATAAAGATTATGATAAAAACGAACGCTGAAATGCCTTGGCGATTGTGGAGGAATCCATAGCCTTGGCCCCTTCTTGGGTGGTTATATGAGTTACCATCGGTTTCAATTGAGCACCCCCAAGGGCATTCGCTAAAAGGGTCCCAGGTTATTCCCAAACTCATAAAATGACCTTTGGCATCTACGCATGTATGGTCATCTGTACTAGCTGGATAGAGAGAAAACAGGTGGTGCACACACCTAGTGCATTATCCAAGGTTTATTGTAGGAGTGAAAGAATAATAAAAACATACTCACAGACGAAGCATGTATCTAAAAAGCATAGAAAAATTACAATGGCCACAACGGCAGGCAAGGTGTTCTCACTGTCAGTGCGGTCAAATGGCTGACGCGTTTCGGGGACGAATCCCTTTCCTCAGAGCTGATGACCAACCTGTATGGAGGTCAAGTAGTAAATAACCAGGACTAGATGCCTTGGGAGCAAAGCTCCACCTCCTCTACTTGTTATAAGATGAGGGGTTGGAGGGGGTTATTTAAAGTGCAATCTTTTGTAGTTTTTATAAACGCATATACATACATATATACACACATGCATATACACATATACAAAGATACATACATGCACTAAGAGACAA